GAGAGAAAGAGAGAGAGAGAGAGAGAGAGAGAGAGAGAGAGAGTTGATGAAGATCGATCAAGAAGAAGAGAGCTCTCATCTCAATAACCCATTCTGAAAAAGAAAGATGATCATCCATTCTCGGTGGGAGGAGTGGTGGAAATGGGGAGAAAAAATTCTACGATCTTTTCAATACTCGCGCAAGTACCCGTTCCCTTTTTTCTCTCTTCTTTTTTTTTTTTATCGATAAGAGAAAGATCGAAAGATTCGAACGAGCTTCGATCTTCCATTAAAATACTATCTTTTTATCTCCTTTCTTCTCTATCCTTATCTGACATCCTTATTTTTCCCCTTTACGATTTCCTTTCATCCGTAAGAGTTGTGTTCATTCATCTTCTCTCTCTCTCTCTCTCTCTCTCTCTCTCTCTCTCTCTCTCTCTCTCTTCTTCTATACACGTAGGAATGCTGCATCAACCACATCACATCCACACGTATTTATCTCCGTTCTTTATTTTTCTCGAGCAATCTCGCGAAGTTGGACCACAGCATCACAACGCCCGGTGTAAACGTTCTCGTTTTCTTTTATCCTCGGGGGAATCGAGAGATAGGTTTCGTCCTCCTTTTTCCGTTCATCTAACTTTCCCTTTTTTTTTTTTTTTTTCTTTTTTCGTACGACTATATAAATGTATTTGTGTATATGGTTATACGTATACTCTATGTACATTTGACGTTAACAAGTATCTATGCGAATGAAGAAGAAGGACATACACGCGCACACACACACGTATATATATATATATATATAACAGGGAGAGAAGGAGAGGAGGACGAATGGTGGATGGATGGATGGATGGATGGATTGAACGTATTGCGCACGTGCACCGGATACTACCAAGCCTCTTTGGACCACGTTCATGTTAGCCACCACCAGACTGCTTGGCGTTGGCGGTTCCGGTAAAAGTACACCAGCTGTTCACGTCTATTACCCTTCTGCTGTTGCTGCTACTGCTACTGTTACTGCTACTGCTGATGCTGTATTGCAGAAGTAACAGTAGCGATTGAGGATGCAACGTGCATGCAACGACGCGTATTGAGAAACTTCAAGATATATCTTACTTTTGATCTTATTTTTCTTACTCCTCTTCATCGACAATCCGATATCAAATTTTTTCTCGCGTGATAGAAAGAAAAGATTATTATCATTTTATTTTTTTCATTCTTTTTCTTCCCCCTCTCTCTCTCTCCCCCATATTTTATTGTAGCATTTGATTTTTATTTTCTACGTTTAGGGGAACAATTCGCAATCCAATTACGGGGAAAATGTTGTAACGCAAGTTATATCTTTTATTTTTTTTTTTTTGAGGCATAATTTTTGTTTCGAAATTTTTATTTAATTTTTTCATACTACGGAAAATCGCGAACGTGACTGTACGCAATTAAGTACTACTCACTTTATTTACTTTCGCGTGATCGACTTAAAACAGTTGACTTCTGTCCACGTATGCGCATACTTTGCATTAACAGTTAGCAGCGGAGAAATAAGTGAAGAAAACTGTTGTGTGTTAAATTGTGGATCACCGGAATAGGGTCATCTCTCTTATTCGTGTTACTCATACGGAGATATAATGTATTTTTTTTATTTTTTTTTATTTGATTTTAATTTTCCAGGTCTAGGACGGATCACTTGAATTATTCTCACACTTTTCCCACGAGTAAGATAAGTGGAAATTGTTGAATAAGATCGAATGCACAATCGTTAACATTTATTTCTTTTTTTTTTCTTTTCCAATTGGATAAATGAGAAGTTAGAAAAATATATGTTAACGTTATACAATATATAGAATTATCTTCAATGGTGTATCTGATTTCACGGACAATCGAGGTTGAACTTTAATTCTTGCTCGTTGTGAGACAACGTAAAAGTGTTTCTTGAACAACCCAGGGTGTAATCACGGGTTGGTTGGTCAGGTCTGAGATTGGTCTGATGTCTTCGTTCGCGAGAACGATTATTTGCCCCCCTAAGGGCAAAGCAATGTCGAAGGTTCGATGGCCTGAACTTGGTGAAAACCAGTTATTTGCGACGCAACCACTCTTTCGTTCCTCAGCTTAACCGGAAGTTCGAGAAGTAACGGTCTTTCGACACTAGCAAATCTCTTATCTGCCTTCTTATTGAACATTATTTTCTTTTTTCATCTACGTCTAGGTAGGTAGGTGGTGGTATCGTGATCGAGAAATCCTTTCTCTCAAAGTTCTCACGCGCCGTCTAACGTCTCATTTTCATGAACTTTCAATATTCTTGATTTTATTTCGGCTTAACGAATAATTATCAAAGCAAATTTTATAAGTATGATAAGATTCGTCGTATAATAAAATAAAACAAATTTTAGTGTTTTAAAAAAGTATAAAAGTTTTCCTATATTGGTAATTTATTCGAATTATTTTTTTTTACATCTAATCATAGACAAAATAATAATCTTTAATTAAATAGTAGAGTACATTTTGTGATAATTGTTATTATATGATAATAAACGATAATATTCTGAATCATCTTAATTGATTTGTTTGTTAAGCTTATGCAAAAGTATTCTATAGGCGTTGAGTTAATATTGCGTTAGTTTACAAACGAGAAATAATACTTTGATTATCATCTTCGCAAGACGATGTTCGTCAAGACGACGACGACAACGACAACGACGAAAGTTAGCTTCTATATTCATAGTGAACTAGAAGAGCAATCTCTGAATATTAATATCCGCCCTATAATTCTTCACGCTAATGAAACTCGACGATTGAAAGGGTGAAGTGGAAAGGTGGTTGATTCGCGATTGCAATGTTCGACGAGAGTTATTAATTGATTTTCGACTTCACGGTTCGTTTCTATTATTTGACTTTTTATTTCAACGATATTGATATCGGTGTAATGAAATAAAAAAAAAAAAAAAAAAGTATATCAATGACGAAATACGAATATATTATGTGAAAAATATCAAAATAATAATAAAAAAAAAAAACAACATGAAAAAGAGATATTTTAAGAAACACGATGATATATTATAGTTTATAGGTACGTGCTGCAGCTGTATTTTCTCGACGTTTTAGTTTTATTTACGGGCTCCTAGGAAATGGACGTTTAAACATCTTGCTCGCAGCAACACGGGGAAGAAGATGTGCCACACACGATGCTATGAATTGTTACGTCTCATTAGTCAGAACATGGTAGTTCTAGCATGCGATATATATCTTACGCAATATGTAGGAATCCTTGGAGATTTGTCATATTTTTTTTTTTATTTATTTATTTTATTTTTATTTTTTATATTTTATGAGTACATATAATCAATCGAAAGGAATAATCACACACAATTTCGATTCTTATCTCGTTCCTCATAAATTCCAATAGTAATAACATTTTTTTTCTTTTCAATTCGTTCGTGTCAGATTTCTTGACCAACAACCTATGCCACTTAGATTTTCTTACGAGATAACGTATAACGTTTATCTAAACGCTATATTATATTACGTTAGCAAATAATACAATTATTATTATTATTATTATTATTTTACCGTCTGACGTTAGATGTGAAACATTTGACGTGTATATTCAAGGTCTCTAAGAAGCGTACTTTCCTTTTCTCCTCTCTTTCGATAGACTTTATGCTTTATTAAACTCAACGAGAGCGTAAAATCATCCTATTTCTCGGTAGTCACTTATTCACGCCTTTATACGAGAGTCTCGTACCCTTCTACCATACTTTGAACACGTTTTCATCGCGTTCATGCCATCTCGGTGACTACTCTCTTGGCAAAAACTCTATGCGGAAGGCAGCTGGTATTATACTTAATAATACAGAAAAAAACATAGAATTGTACTTATAACGCGTAAAACTATACACGTATATATATAAATTGCAAGTTAGAATAAGAATATATAATCAAAATTCGTCGTGTTGAATTTTGATAAAATTTATAAACGTATTTGTTATAACAAAGCCGAGTCCTTTTGTTTGAAGAATAAAGAAAGAAAATTTCGTTAAAGTCATTTATATTTTATAATGCGCTAGATTTTGCAAAATAATTTCCTCTTACGTTGGTTGCTTATTCGCAAGGATTTTAGTTTCCGAGACCAAGGTAAAATCTAAGTGCAACGTGCATAAATTTTCGTACGTTGATTTATGCGCATGGATCTACGCTGGTCTTTCTCTCTCTCTCTCTCACACACACACATACACACACACAACACACACACACACACACACACACACTCACTCTCTCTTCCTTCCAGTTTAATGTTTCCGAATATACTGGCTTCGATCTTGTACGCAAGGCATTGTACAAGACCTCCCTTGTGAAACGTGTTCTCGTGTATTATACGTGTGCATTACGTTGTATGCGTTTATCACACGTATGTGCATGCAGCTTAGTGCTTCTCCTCGCAGTTGTAATGCAAAGATACGGCGTTCACGAATTATGTTGTTCCCTAGAGCAGCACGGTGTGGTGTTTGTGGAAACCTCCGTTCGTTATTAGCATACACCTATAGTGATCCGTATATGGGTCAACTTAGTACGAGATATCGAATCTCTGTAATTAGCATATTAATTATAATTGTTTATAAGTGTGCGTGTATCTGCTTTACAGATTATTCGATTGGAGGCCAGATCGTTTACCGGGGGAGCCATTAAAATGCGAAAGGGTTGTAATTATTAAAAATCTTTTCTCACCTGAGGACTTCGACAAGGAAGTTGCTTTGCTTTTGGAATATCAACAGGACATTAGACAGGAATGTCTTAAATGTGGAGACGTTAAAAAAGTCACTATATTTGACGTGAGTAAAATTCACGGAAATTCGTTTTCTTACTCTTTCTATTCTTGGATCGAATTAAATTTATGCTTTAAAATTTCTACGAGAAAATAAAAAGCAAAAAGAAGAGAAAGAGAACGAACAAGTTAGAACGAAAAGAATATAATAATATAACATCGTGGTGTTAATAACATTAATGTACGAGGATGGTAAGTTTTTTTTCTTTACTCTACTGCAGGAACGATAAATTATACATTAAGTTGAATATTGTTGTTTATGAGTCGACGCCATTACGCAAACGGCGGTGGCGGCGGCGGCGGCGTCATGGGATCCGCGCATGGGAAGGCTCTTGCGTGACATTTTTATTATTATTTTGTTATTCGCGATTACAACAACAATGGTCCGCTATTTGTACTCCGATACAATTGCAATACGGGGTAAGGCAAAGGAAAACAAAAATCCGTTTATAAAGCAACCAATGTTAATTGGGGAACAAAACGAACATCGGAGGAAGGATTCCTATTTTAGTATGAAAGTATACACGACCCAGATTTTAGAGAATGCTTCGTTGCCAGTACTACTACTACTACTACTACTATTATTATTCGAAAGAGAAGTAACTTAGAATAGAACGGCGGATGAATCGTTTGGAAACGATCAAACTTTCGTCGGTTCGGTTAAGGGTGTGTTCTCCTCCTTCGCTGCGCAAAAGCGGAAAGTATAAAAAGAGGATAATAGAAAATTCTCCTTGCGAAGGGATACAAATAAACGATTGTCTATGTTAGAGAGAAAGAGTAGAAACTGGTGATGCTGGCGGAGAGATGGAATGGTTAAGGGGTAGGGGGACAGAGGGAAAGGACATAACCCCATAAATTCGCCGCGGGACACTCCCTAGTCGTCGAGTCTCAACCGTGAATCTATTCAATGTCAAAGTAAATTCCTTCCTCTCTCTTCTTCTTCTTCTTCTTCTCTTCCTACTGTTTTTTCCCTTTCCCCTGTTGTGTTGTCGTCGTTTCTCGTACGTGAGGTCGGCGCGAAAAATAGCACCGACATCAAAAGGGACGACAAGAAGCCCCTTTAAAACTTTTCGGCCTTTCCCCAACCAATTTACTATCGCGGTGAACAGCAGCAGCAACAGCAACAAGAACAGAAACAGCAGCAACCAGTTTCGTTTTTTCCAAATTCATTGTGCGTGTGTTGGGGTTAACCGTACACGTGTTTTCAAATTATTTTTCATGGTTATACGAGTAATCGACACATTCACGTATCCCCGCTAACCCTTTCCCCCCCCCCCCCTTCCCCATTTTAACTTTTAATATTAATTTATTGTTCTTCACTCGTGTTTCATTAAAACTATACGTGTATATATATACTACAGTTATGTATTATATTTCTTGACCTAATCGTTAAAGTCTTTGACCGTTCTGAGAAGAGATTACAGTTATGAATAAATGAAGAGAAGTATAGTACATATACATACATACATACATACATATAGAGGGTCCAAGAAGAAGTACTATTACTACGTGGTACTTGATGGAACAAAACAACACGACACAGAAACGATGATCGGTTTCTGACTCGCGTCGTAGCAACACACGTTCCGAAATGCGACAAAGGAACAAAGAGGCTCGTGTCGAGAGCGTGTTTCCTAGCAGTAAAATTAATGCTCGAAACCGAAGGGTCCATAAATTGCGGTTCAAGGCGAAGCGAAAAAATATCACCAAGGGCCGACGGCGACAAGGAGGCGGGATTTTTAACTCTCGGTTCCCGATGCATGCGACATTTTCGAAACGTCTCGAGGCTGAATGAACTTACCTTCAATACGAATGACATTGCAAAAAGAAAAAAATACATATATATATAAAAAAAAAAAAAGGTGAAGGTCTTCATTCGATTGTACGAATAAAAAATTTTCTTTGATTATTTCATTATGTGGTCATGGTATGGTTTATTTCCAGTAAAAATATTTAGGGTACGCGATTCTAGCAATTAACTTGGACCCGTATTATTAATATTTAATTACGACACGTTGATTATTATTGACTCGATAGAAGCAGAAATTATTTGGAAATATCATTTTTATTCTATGAAAAAGAGAAAATAGAAAAAGTTTAATATTATCGTTACTACTTTTCTATTTGAAGTATGAATTTAAATTACAACATTACGTTAGCGAAAATTTTCTAATAACAAAGTCAGGATATTAATTATAACTATTGTTCGTACTATTATAACTTTCGTTTTTAATTATGATATTTCGATTATTAGAAACGAATGGAACTTGAAGATAAATATTTTCTTTTTCTTTTTTTTCCCCTAGAAAAGAACTTTAAATATTAATTCCTACTTTCTTCTCGCGCGTTTTCCTTTGATACGCATCGCTTGCAGAAACAATGTTTTTTGTTATATATTAATTTTGCGATTAATTAAAAAGCATTGATGTATAATTGCAGCGACATCCTGAAGGCGTTGCTCAGGTAACCTTTCGTGAGCCTGCTGAGGCTCAAGCTTGCGTACAGTTGTTAAATGGACGTTGGTTTAGTCAAAGAAAAGTATCAGCCGAAATTTGGGATGGGAAAACGAAATACAAGTAAGTTTATCGAATGCCAATTTCTTTCTTATCAACTGCAAGTTGAAAATATTATTTGTGACTGTTGGTAACGTAGATTTTTACCTTAACCATTGTAGACAGTATATAAATATATATATATATATATACATATATATATTTTTAGTAATCTACCTTATCAACAATCAGCAAATTATTTACCGAGCTTAAGAAATAAAAATAATTACATTTTACTTTTTTAATGAAATATGTTACACTAGAATGAGAATTTTTGGATAAAATTAAAAAGTGCATTTTAAAACGCATGCATGCGATTACAGGAACAAAATAACATTTGTTTTCAATTAATTTATAATTTTCTATGACGATATTTCCAAAAATGCTTTTGTTCTCATTTAGAAGCAAGTCACGCAAATATCCTGAAGCAATAACATTTATTTTTCTTAACCGATCGCATTATATTTGCAAATTCTACGATCTGATCTCAGAATTAACGAAACGGATGCTGAGATCGAGGCGCGATTAGACAAATGGGACAAGTTTTTGGAGCGAGAAGATGAAAAAGAGAAGAAAGGAGGCGGCGAAGGTGGAAGCTAAGAAGAAGAAGAAGAAGAAGGTGGAGGGGAAAGGGCTTGAAGAAGACAAAGAAATCGGAGCACAAGCCCTTCGGATTAGAGAGAAGCAGGGTGTATAAACAATATAAGATGATAAATAAAATTGCAACGATTTTGTTCCGTCAATTATTTTTTAGACAAGGATTGGAATCGTCGACGAGATAGATACAGGGGAGAAATAAATTTGATTTTTATTTTATTTTTTATATTATATTTGGGTCAAAACCCTGGTCGATATATTACAGTAAGTATTTCTTTTTATATGCGTTCCAAATTATTTGTAATTTCGATCATTTTATCATATCCAAGTCGTCTCGCGCTATATTATTGCTGATTAGTAAACCCATTGTAGCCTTGTTTAACAGTTTGTTAGCGGTTGTAAATTTAAAAAAAGAAAAAAAAAACATTATAAAAAAAAAAAGAAAAGAAGAAGAAGAAACAATAAATAAGATTTTTTCGAGGCATATTCTTTCTTAAATCTTCCATCGTCGGTGTATCAATAGCCGACGCATTGCAAGTACAAAATATATTATCATTGCAAATCGAATAATCTTCGATTTATATACGGTAATATAAATATTAAATAGCAACCAGTCTTATGTGTAGTATTAACACAAAGTACGTAAAGCCATTCCTTACGGAAATACCAACGATATTTCTTTATCGTAGAAAACCTTTTTGTTGTAGTAGATTTATATATATATATAATGCATTTGTTAATAGTAAGCGTGTGTAAAAGTGAACAATCCTTTTCTCTCTCTATCTCTCTCTCTTCCTCCCTCTTCCTCACCCAGTTCACTTTTGTCCCGCACTCCATAAAACGTCGAGGGATAATGTAAAGCGTTACATTACTGACGTTCTTCGGATTACGCGATGCAATTTGATCGAAACGCGTTTGGCGTGCTTCGGCATACGAGAAGAGATCATACGGAACAAGCCGAAGTGACTGACCTAGGTTCGACTCGAGCGTTCAAGACGAGAAAGCGCATTCCCCCTTTCTTTTTGGAATTTTTCTTTTTTTTTTTAACTATTTTTTTTCTTTTTCGTATTTTCGGTTAGGTCATAGAAAAAAAGTTTTAAGTTAATCGGCCAACAAATCCCATACACACATACACATACACATACATACATACATACATACATACTACATATATATATGTATACATAAATCTATTGTATTAGTTTTATTACAATTGTAAGATAATTATTTATCTTTAGATAATGTTAATAATAAAAATCCTCTGATATATATAGATATATTATTCCTTACTATTTATATATTTATTTACCATTACGAGATTACGATGTTAGAATTTCTATTAAATTATTAATTAACATCGCGTTGATTTGCTGATATTGTAAAATTAATCGGAAATTACAAAATGATGAAACAATATGTGTTAGCATTGAAGGTAACAGTAGTCGTGAAGGAGGATTTGGAAGAGAAGAAAAAACAGAACGAGAGAGAGAGAGAGAGAGAGAGAGAAAGGAGAGGAAGGTAGATTCTCCTGGAATTCCCTAATTTGCTATTTTGGCATTCCTGGCGATCCTTATGTTGTGCCCCGTTCGTGGGACTTCTCTCCTAAGAGGCTGTTGCCGATCTGTCAAAAAACGCGATTCTTCGGTCGCCGCCACGGCCTTCTTCTTTTTCCCCCTTTCTTTTTTCTCTATTCTCGGTCAGAGTATCCGAATGTTGGAAGAAAGAAGATCAGTGTTCTCTCTCGTTTATCAGAAACAACAAATTCTGGTTAGGAAGTTAAATTACGGCGAGTGGTGCGACCGATTGGTTTGTTGTTAATCTCTCGATTGATTCATAGAATTTAATTATAAAAAAGGAAAATGAGAATAAGGAGAATACACGTTATGTCATCATTTTTTGTAACAAGTAATTAGACCTCATGTAGCGTCTAATGGCGTATTCGTTAAATATAATGAGCCAATCCGTGTAATTGTGATATGTAAAATGACTATAATTATGAGAGATTTCTTCTGTGGTATGTTAAAACAACGACATATTTATTATAATATATTATATTGTATAAGATGATTGTTTTTATATCATGCAATTACGTGAAGGAGACTCTGACCCAATATATATATATATATATATATATATAAAACAGAATCGATTATACACAATGAAAGCCACGAAGCATCATTTTACGAGTATTTCGTTTGATATTCCAATCGTTTATTCGCCTATACTCACGTATTATCGTAGCATGAAATGCGAGAATGAAAGCAGCATATTTCTTTCGTCTCGTATACCGTAGATGACGAGGGGGATGGGATACGAATAAGGGAGGAAAAGAGAACGCCAAGGTCCACCACCCCACTTGGCAATATCACTGACAAATTTAATGCTCGACTATTAGCAGCAGGAGTTTTAGGGGTGAGTTACGCTTCCTCCATTGTTGAAGTGGCCACGTGCAGGATGACTGCGCCACCCCGCTATGAAACGTTTGATCGGTGATCCGACGTTAGCTAGCATGAACGTATTGAGTAGAGCAAAGGTCGACTCGCATAAAAACTCTTACCCCGTTTCACGCTCCTCGACGGTTTATTGGATTTGTCCGACACTCCCTGATGATAAAGACCAGCTAGATTACACGTCGGATTAGCCACGGTCTTCTACATTTGCCACGGTCAAGTGTTGCGTCACCGATAGGAAGAAGATACGTCTCAACATTTAGGATTATTCGTTTCATGCAAATTGGACCAGATTATAAATTGCATAGTTTGACAATGGTAATGAAATATCTTATGATTTGTGTTCACGAATATAAAAAACATTGTTAAATTATTATGACACTTTCCATTAATTTTAACATTTTAATGTTTATGGAGAAAATGAGAAATATGAAAATATGTAATAATGTAATTAAATTAGGAATACACTTAGGAATACGTAACAAATGGGGGATAATTATTACGGAATAGTAATTTCGTGTAATGTATATAATTATACCTATTTTATCTTGATTTAAATATTAAATATTAATTTAATAAAAATTCACAATATATATAATGAAATTGACCGATGTAATTATTATTTAATTTTCCTAATTGAGATTAAAATATATGAAAAATTGAATCGCGCGTATCAAAGGACGATGGGGTGGTGCAACTTGTGGCTTGACCCATTTCTTCTTAAATGAATCGTCAGTCGAAGGTGTCGGGATACTTTTCGCTTGGCAGAAGATTCATAGTCACGTACCAATTTTCTCAACAGGAAAAACCTGATTTTCCAAGGAGTTTAAGAAAATTCCTAACCAGCTTGACTTCGTCGGAGTTTCCTACCCTCTTTTGCTCTCATCCTCCAATCTCTTTTACCATGCTGCCTCCCTACCAAGGCAACCTTCACTGCTCTCTCTCTCTCTTTCTCTTAGCGAAGCAAATTAAGCTTCCCGAAACACCGCGAAACTGTTAATTAAGACTCATTATGCGCGCGGCTTGCCGAGTTCGTTGCTAGCGTTGGAGAGTAAAGAGAAAGAGAAAGAGAGAGAGAGAGAGATAAAGGAGTTGAAGGGGTGGGAGGGAGAGAGAAGGTGGATAAGGTTCGGGGTTGTTGGGAAAAGGCGACTCGAAGCATGGTTAAAGCCGGACGAAACGAGAAGGGTGGTAGGCAAAGTTGTTGGGTATGGAAAGATAGAAGAAGAAAGAGAATCAGAAGCAAATAGAAAGACAGAGACAGGGCTAGAGTGTGGGTATCGAAGGGTAGGAGGAGGAGGAGGATTCAACCCGAGTAGGAACTTCTTAATACCGTGCTGGGTAGTCCGGGTTCATTGTGGGATCAATACAGAGACGACGGTACGTAGGAGTGGCAACTGACGCCTCATTGGACGACTGATTCTCGCTCGTTGATTGGCCGAGCTTGGGACTGCCAGTAGGCGTTTCCTTTTGCCCGTAACCCCTTCTTTCTCTGAAAGGGGCTGATCGAAAAAGGGAAGGGAAAGGGAGAAGAGACCTTTCCGACCCTCCAGCAAATAGAAGGAGTGGAGAATACGTGCCACGCACGGCCACCAAAAAGAGAGAGAAAGAGTTGCGAGCAGGGAGAAGGGAGATGTGAGGAAGAGAAAGAGAAAGAGAGATAGAGAGAGAGAGAGAGGAACCTGACCATGGAGTTGGAAAAAGACGGCGGACGAGTCTAGGGGACGAGGGAGAGGGTGCCCAACGATCGGTTCGGGGGGTTCAGTCTGTGTTCGCCCATCAGAGACACACCAGCGGTGCAATCTGGAGACAGCCGTTCCGTTCTCTCTATCTCTTTCTCTATCTCTATCCGTTGAACTCGTGCAGATCTCGCGTTCCTGTGTTTCGTGCTTCGTTCGTCAGTTCATACGTACGTTCGTTCGTTCGTTCGTGTTATTTGGTAATCTTGGTCTATCTCTTTTCTTACTCGATAACGGGAAACGATCAACGTGTGATACGCACGAACGTGAGAAGTGAGAGTGATAATGCTCGGAGTATACGTGATCGTTTTCGAGGTCTTTTAAAACGATTTGAAGGTGCCACAGCTTGTCAGGAGTGTATCAGACTCGGCAAGACAGTTTCGTGTTTATTCAGTTTTAAAAAGAAGAATAGAAAGTAGAGATCGATGTTGATCGATCATTCGTATTAGGATCCTGACAAAGAAAGATAAAAGTCTAAAACGTGTGTGGATCTAATCATCTTCTTAACTTTTCCTTCCTCTTATACGTCAAAAACGTCAAAAAGGTGGATCCATCTTCCCGCGCTTTAACAAGAACCCTGATAAGCTCCGAAAATATTTGTTTCTCATCGGTTGATTGGTTATTCGATCAATCGACATGACAACTTTTATATTTGTGCTAAGATCCTTGAAATGTTTTATTTAAACGAAATAAACACAAGTAAAACGCGATGATTGTATCATATATACCAACTGTTGCGTTTCCGATAGCAGTCTCTTGAGTGAAAGTTCGAGACTGTCAAAACGTTTCTTTTTCTTCGCCGACGGACGATAATTCTAATCACCTTTGAAAAGTGCGTAAACTCTTTATCGTCCAAACATTATTTCTCACGGTTGTTAATTGCTAATAAATTAGGACGTTAGGGTTGGGCTAGTTAACTGAAGTTGTCTCTGGTGCACGTGGTTGTTATTGATTGTTGGATTGAAATTTTGTACTTGATGTAAAAGAAAAAAAAGGAAAGGAAAATAAAGGGAGGAAGAAGTAGAAGAAGTCGAAACAAAAGACAAAAAGGAACGCAAAGAAAAGAAAAGGAAAGAAAGAAAGAAGAAGAAGGTGATCAAGAGAGAGAAAGAGAAAGAGAGAAAGAAAGAGAGTGGAGGAGCCAAGTGGTGGTGGTATTAGAACGGGTGGTGCGACGTTCGGGTACGCAAGTCGGCAGGCCGGGTCTGGGGTGCCAAGCCCGGGCGGGGTGATGAGCTGCTCCGAGGTGATGTATCAATATTATCATCCTTACCTCTATTCGAGGGCACCACCGCCGCCGCACCCGACCCACCCCCATGCGGCCCCGCATGCGAATCCTCATGCGGCCCATCACAGTCCGGCCAGGCCGGCACCTTTTCAACCATTTTCCTCCGCCACGGCGACGCATCAGTACGACAGGGTAAGTATCACATATTTATTATAACAATCATTTTATTTTTGTTTCCAATTAAAATATTAATTATGTTAAATTTAAGAATTAGGTATCAGCGTTAGATTTGTTAATTTACGATTATAAGTTTGATGAAATTATTAACCCTGTAATCGACCATTTAGATTATTTTTTGTTAGGAATCGTTAGAAAATTATTATAAGGGTAGATAAATATATATAAGTTAGATCATTTACGCACACGATTTTTCTTGGTCTTGATCAGTTATTAGGTTTCGAAAAATTACGTTTTGTTTATGTGTATGTGATTTTGTTGTTGTCTGTTGGTTTGACGTAGAAAATAAAATCGTTGAGTAAATTATAAGATACGTTAAACGGATTTAAGAGTTCTATCAATCTTTCGCAATTTTGAGTAATAATCGTACTTTTATAGCGTTAAAACTATTCGATGAAAAAATCATTTGATACGTTAGAAAGATAGTATATATCTGTAGATATATTAGAGCATATTTTACAAACTGGAACGGTATTTCCAGTATGTCAGATTAACGCTAACGAGTGAAAGGAATCGAATCGTGCTGGGAATTTAGATGTCAAGCGATCGTTATGGGCAGGTATCATTATTCAAAAGTATATCGCGTGGGTAACGTGTATCGCGTTAAGAGTACAAGCTTTTGAACGCTTTAAACAAAGCATCGTTATAAAGATTAGGAACAGCGTTATAACGCCTAAAGGTGTTTACGTCAACGTTAAAGTGTCACGGAGGATTTTAAAATTCTTCAAGCTAAATCATTTAAGTATTTTGTATATATAAACACACGATTAAAATATAATATATATCTCATATTTTATTATAATTTATTATCAAATATCATCTTATTGTAATATTCATATCGTTAGGTGGCCCCAAAAGTTTTTTGTTAACGTTAATTTATCTAAATAATAAGCAACCCATTCTGTTGCTTACTTTTCTCTTCTATATTTCATAATAGCAGTAAAATAACGAAACTATTAGGACGACTCAATTCTAACATTAACATAAAACATAACATAACATTTAAGATAGATAGAAGAAGAAAAACTTAGATAATATTTCTCTATTAAAAAATTGTATATTTTTCGGACATATCCACCTTTCCAAATTTGTCTTGCAACGAATATAGACATCTTTTAAATCTACGATACAATATTCCCGATAGTTGTAACTTGATCATCCTCATCATCATCATCATCATCCCTATCAGTATTCAGAGGTGCACAAAGATCGTGGAATCTCGTTAGACGAGTACTCACCTCTCTTATGACACATTGCACCTATCCAATGACTTAATATTAACTCACATAATATACCTTATCGATTTCACAGCAGGAGACATTGGTGATCCCAAAGATCACGGACAGGTGTGTCTAAAAATATCAACCAAAACTTCGGGAGACTAAAATTTCGATGTACATTAT